GGTCTTCTGGAAGATGTTGAGAACTGGGAAAATTCTGCAAAAGTGTAGCTACAGGGGAATTACTGGGGGAAATCCCATTTATTGGAACATTCTCTGTAGCATAGATTTCACCCATCACTAAACACAACTTCAGGCTTGCATGAATCTCTTTCCACTCACTGTTCCCCACCAGTCCAGTTTCCCATCTGTCTGACATTGGTTTAGATCAAAGGACATTTTCCTGGAAGCAAGCCCCATCGAATAACATGAAACTTACTTCTGAGCAGATCTGCTTAGGATTGCTGCCATCGTTTTTGGCATCCCTGTCAGACTTGTCCTTGGTTCTATTTATCAATACCACTTGGTGGCCCTTCTGATATTTTGTAGCAATTTGTCTACGAAATTTTAGCTTGTAGTCATAAAGCCTCTAGAGCAGTGATGGCGAACCTTTTAGAGACGGCGTGCCCAAACTGCAACCCCAAACCCACTTATTTATCACAAAGTGCCAACATGGCAATTTAACCTGAATACTGAGGTGGAAGGTCAGTAGTTCAGCGGTTCAAGACCCGGGTGCCGCAAGACAGGGTGAGCTCCTGTCTCTAGTTCCAGCTCCTGCCAACCTAGCAGTTCGAAAGCAAGAAATTGCAAGTAGATAAATAGGTACCACTTTGGTGGGAAGGTAACAGCGTTCCGTGCGCCTTGGTGTTTAGTCATGCCAGCCACATGACCACGGAAACGTCTTCGGACAGCGCTGGCTCTTCGGTTTTGAAACGGAGATGAGCACCGCAACCCTAGAGTCGGAGTCGACTGGCTTTCGAGCAAGGGAACCTTTACCTTTAACTTTACTGAGGTTTTAGTTTAGAAAAAAACAACTTATACATTATCTTTTGTCTTAAAAGAAAAACACAACAACAGAGCTTTCAATGATACAAACAACTTTTTATTGAAAGGGAAAAGTTTGCATTTGGCATGCTTTTGAACAATTAATGTGATTTTTACTGTTGTATGCATGCTGATAATTTGTCTAACCTTGGCTCATACTTTGTAAGTTTGAGAGCAACACAGGCAGCACTCAGGTCATCTGTTAGTCTCTTTCTGGTGTCAGATTTTATATAATTCAAAGCTGAAAGCAGCTGCTCACAAGCATAAGATGATCCAAACAAAGTAAGGAAAGCAATCCCAAGTGCTTTCATTGACTTAAAATTATTTGGCAGAGAATTCCACACTTTAAGGATTTCATTTTCAGAACTAACTATGCTGGCCTTTGTCATCCCTTCTATCTTCTCAAGTGTTTCACGCAGGTCATAGAATTTGAAAGGTTCCCAACCCGACACAAAAGGCACTATGGAAGATAACAGGATAGGCAGCTCTCTAGGCAAAGGAATCCAATGCACCTGGGGGGCAGGGGAGAAGAAACTTTCCAGGGCTACGTCAGTGTGTGCATTGCTGCCACAACGGACCAGCAACAGCACTGCCACCAGTGGGGAGAGGGAGAACAGAGGAGAGGAACAAGGGCAAAAAAAGGCACAGTGGCAGGGACAATATAGGCAAATGGCGGAGCATGCAAAGCAGGAACCATCATTAAGTGGCTCCCTCAGGAGGGAGTACAATGTCGCCAGCAGCAAAGAACAGTTTGCAAGGGGTTGGAAAAGCAGAGGTTGGCCAGATGGCCCTTTTCTCTTTGTCCCCCTGTATCCTGTATTTTAAGGGTACGTCCTCTTTATTTCACACGCACACAGTACAGACTGGCTGTCCTTTTTACAGTTCCACTGAACAGAAAGGGCAAACACCGTCCTTCCCCCCCATAACATTTTGATTCATCCTGAAGGGCGAGGAGGCGGGTACAAGCCAATCAATCCCAACTGGAACCCGGGAACCAGTCTGAGAGGAGCACACAGCGCCCATCACCAGGGCATAGTGACACCAGGGCTTCCACAGGGCGGAATGGGAAAGGACTCCTCGCAGATGCAGAAAAGGCTGCGAAAGGCGAAGAAAAGCGAGTTCACGTGCAGGATGTGAATGTGTGCAAACGGAGGCATAAAAAGCAAGCCTTTTCCAAACACAAAGCACAGAGCAGCCTTCTGTGCCCCTGCAGCTTCCTTTGGTGCCTCCAGCACTCAGGCTTTGCAGCCCCCCGCTGGGGCACAATGCAGGCCCCGGAGACCCTGCCCAAGGGCAGCTGCTGCTGCTATCGCCGCCGCCCACACAAGAAAGCACGCCCCGCCAGCAGCCCCTTCCCTTCCCACTCCGCATCGGGCCCTCCCAAGGTTTTCTCACCACCTTCCACACGTTGCAGCCCAGCAGGCAGAGCAGAAGTGCGGTGGCGGCCGCCGCCCTCCTCATTTTCAACTGCCGTTGTAACTTCAGCCGATGCCGCTGGGAAAGGAAGAGGAGGAAGGCGGGAGGGAGGGAATCGCTGGAGCGCTGGCCAAAAGGAGGAGGAAGCATCGCAATCAGGGGCTCGCCCACACCTCACTTCCCTGCATGCTGCCTGCCGGTGCCCCTTCTGCCCTCTCCGGCAGAACTCTGTGGGGCAATGGCGCACGTGCCCACAGAGAGGGCTCTGAGTGCCGCCTCTGGCACGGCATGCCATAGGTTCACCACCACTGCTCTAGAGACTCTGGCCTTACTCCTGATTTTCTTGTCAGTCAATCCACAAGCACTGGAATCCGTTTGGACATGGTTCTTCTGCACATCTGTCCTGTGTTCCCTCTAAGCTGAGTTAGTGTGAGCTAGCTCAGTTTTTTACCCTGCAGCTCACACATTTTTGTCTTAGCTCAGGAAGGATGGCTCCAGAGCAAACTAATTTATACAGTAGCCAAATCGCTCACTCACAACATTAATGCCAGTAGCTCAGAAAGTAGAATTTTTGCTCACAAGACTCCACAGCTTAGAGGGAACAGGCACCTGTGAGCATCTTCTTGGTCCAAACTGCTTGCTTAGGCAGTGGGCCAACCGTTAACCTTTAATGTGTGAGTTCCAAGGCCAGTTTCATTGTCACAACGACTGGTCAGGATTTCTTTGCAGGCTACTCCAGGATGAGGCCATGGCTCAGCAGCAGAACATCTGCTTTGAATGCCAGGGATCCTTGCTTCAGTCCCCAGCATCTCTAGTTAAAAAGATCGGGTAGCAGGTGACACGATCCGCTGCCAGTCAGAGTACACAGTACTGACCTGACCAATAGTCTGCCCCAGTATGAGGCAGCTTCATGTATGTTCATCCCTGGCTGTACCCATTTTGAGGCCTGCACAGTGTCATTCTGATCAAGCCCTGCAAAAAGCTGAACAGCACTTCAGCTCCCCCTTGTGCTTATACATGGGAACTGGATTCTGACTGAAATTTTATACTTCCAAGTTATTTCCTTTTGCTACATTCTAATTTCAGGATGTATCTTTCTTCTCCTGACACATGTACATCTGATTATAAGCAATTTAAAAGGTATTTGATGCGGTTATCTAGGGTGGGATACAACAGAACAGCAGTGGGCACGCACATGCGAGGGGGGGGGATTTGATTTGAATTACCTGCTACTGCAGGCGTCCCCAGTGTAGTGCTTGTGGGTGCCATGGTATCTCCCAACACCTTTTCTGGCATCCACCAAGTGTTTTTAGAAAGTGTGCAGGACAAGGTAGGGCTTTTGCCTAGCAAGGTTTCTAGGGTTGCCAGGCGGGAAATTCCCCAGTTTTGGGGGCTTCTGCCCACCACTGACCCACTCCCCCACTCCCCAATGGCGACGTCACTATGCAGCGTCACCAGTGCAGTGATGTCATGAGGAAGTGACGTCATCATGTTGGTGGCATCACATGGCAACATCGCCCACCCCACTTCCAGAAGGCTTCCTTCCACCTGCTGCCGGCATGTGGTGAGTACCTGGGAACACTAAAGGTTTCTTACTGAGCACTGGAGATTTGGTTGGCTTTGCCAATTTTTAAATAGGTTCCTTTGGGGGCAGCTGCCACCACAGCACAAGGATCTCTACTGTGTGATTAAAAGTGAGCTGCTGCAGCTATTTTGGGCTAGTTCTGCCTCCTGCGGCAGCTGTTTTATGGTCATGTCCAAAACACTATCAGAATTCCAACGGGTCAAAAAAGTCTGTTCTACTGTTTTAGTGTTATATGCTTGAAATACAGGGTTATATAAAGATTTTGGATGGGACAGAAGTTATGACCCTTTTGTTTATGCAAAAAGGATGGTAGATAGTGGACTGGGCAGAGGGAGATCTCTCTCTCTCTCTCTCTCTCTCTCTCTCTCTCTCTCTCTCTCTGTGTGTGTGTAAAAGCTCTTGAAATGAGGACCCTCTGGATCAGGTAGCAGGTGACATGATGCGCTGCCAGTCAGAGTACACAGAAACCCATCTAGAGTTTTGCATCCACTGACTTTCCAGGAGTGCATCTGACATGGTGTCCCAGAAAACATATTTCAGCAGCAGGTGGCACCAAAACCTAAGGATGTGAGGGATTTGTCATTTGAAACTGATGTGGAATTCTGCAACCAGTATCATATGTGCATTCTAAGGGGCAGGAATGTTGAAATGCAGTTGTAAACATATCATGCATGGCTATTATTTGATTCAGATTGCGAGCTGTGGAAATACACCTCTACAAATGCTGTGAATGTTTGACAACTGAGCTCTCGCACAGGAAACTGGTTCCAGAACTAAGCCCTTGTTCAAAGTGAACCTGGTTTGGGAGTCTCATCCACTTCTGAAAATTCTAAATCAGTTGTCCTGAAATGAACATTTCCTTGTAAATCACACTTCGGACACCATATTTTTATTGTTATGCCAGAAAACAAGTTTGTTAAGGATGAACCAGAGAAGCTTCCTTGACTCCTAGAAAGCACCAAAGCAACAGGTAATGGAGGAATAACCTTATCAAAGCTACCTTGCAGAATACGTTTAGCCTTAGCATGGCTCTTAGGAGAGTTTTCTAAGTACAGGATAGCGACCTGTGATCTTTTTGCTATTCCAAGTTCAGGTCCTTGATGATGCCTTCTGATTTTTATATCTGAGCACTGAAATTTCACATGCGGCAAATCTTTGTGGTGATCCGTGGGCCAGTTGGGCATGGGCCACAGGGCTGTGAGCAGACTGGACCACATGGGGCACAGGGGTGGGGGGGACAGGGCATAGGACCACACGGGACACAGACTGGCCCACAGGGATTGACATAGGGTAGAGCCATATTGGGTTCAATCGTCTGCATAATTGGTTTGCACTCTGGCGGACAGGTGGGGGCACAGACTGTTTCTGGCATGCAAACTGGCCGACAGACAGATGAACGGACAGCAGTTGTGTGCTCAGGGTCACAGGGTTGATTGGGGAGCCTGGAGAGAAACAAACATCAGTTTAGGTGAGGCAAACAGGCCCATGGAAGACAGTCAATTTAAAAATCAGATTTTAAAAAGTAACCCCTCCCCAACAAAAGCCATGTAAATACCTTTTATTAAGATCAACCCAATAACATAAAACAGTTTGTCGTCATTCATATCAGGTTGCTTGGCACAAGACTCTAGGTAAAGACCTAACGCAAGATCAATGGGCTATAATTTGGAATGCTCCAGCATACCTTTCAAAATCAATTCAGTTACAAACATATAAAGTAATCTCTAGATGGTATCTAGCTCCAGCTTGTTTGTCACACTACACTTTTTAAATATCTCCTAACTGTTGGAAGCAGTGTGGACAAAAAGGAACATTTATGCATAATTGGTGGACATGCAAAATTATCAAAGCATTCTGAGAACAAATAATACTAGAAATCGCTCGCATAACAGATATTAAAATCCCAGTAATTCCAGAATTGATTTTACTGAATCTATGGACAAATTTAAAATTACTAAAATCAAGATCTTATTATGACAATGGTCATGGCAGCAAAAAATATAATTGCTATAAAACAGAAAGATAAGAATTATGGGATTACTTCGTTATCAGCAATCAGATTCCAAGTTAGAAGAATCATATATAGTTAAGAATGGGTTCCCTATGTGAAGTGGAAGTTTAAACATAGAGATCCTACAGATAATATATTAAAAATATGTTAGTCCTATATGTTAGTCCTATATTTTTGTTAGTCCTACTCTATTTTTGGTTTGTCATTTTATTTGATATATTTTGAACTGAATATCTGATGTATGTATGTATATGTATATACAAATATGTATATATTTGTGAAAGCTGTAACTTTGCACTTTAAACTGTAAATAAAAACTTTAAAAAACCATTTTGTGAGCTTTTTTTTTTAGTTCTCCAGAATTTTTTATCTGGCTGAATATTAAAGGATGTTGTGTGTGTGTGTGTGTGGGATTTCAGGTCCTGACATTATGGTTTCTTTTCTGCATCCTGTGTAGTACACCATGCAGTTTTGAATTGTGAAGAAGAAGAAGAGATTGGATTATACCCCGCCCTTCACTACCCAAAGGGGTCTCAGAGCGGCTTACAAACTCCTTTCCCTTCCCCTCCCCACAACAGACACCCTGTGAGCAGTGTTCCCTCTAAGCTGAGTTGGTGTGAGCTAGCTCACAGTTTTTTTTTTTAAATAAAGTTTTATTGATTAGCTTCCAGCTCACATATTTTTGTCTTAGCTCAGGAAGGATGGCTCTAGAGCAAACTAATTGATGCAGTAGCCAAATCGCTTGCTCACAACTTTAATGCCAGTAGCTCACAAAGCAGAATTTTTGCTCACCGGACTCCACAGCTTAGAGGGAACATTGCCTGTGAGGTAGGTGGGGCTGAGAGAGCTCTTTCCAGAACTGTCCTTGACAGAACAGCTGTGCCAGAACTACGGCTTGCCCAAGGACATCCAGCAGGTGAAGTGGAGGAGTGGTGAATCAAACCCGGTTCTCCCAGATTAGAGTCCGCACATTTAACCACTACACCAAACTGGCTCAAATTGTGATGCTGGGTGGAGCTGATTCCTGAGCTGATTCCGAGGTTCTGTAGAACTTGAAAGCTTACACATTGTTTTGTGTTATTTTTGGTCCCAAAAAGATATTGCAGTTTTTGTTTTTGGATCTTGCTTTACATCAGCTACTGCAGCCTCTTTTCTCTTTTTTTCTTCTTTAAACAGTGAGAGGAAGTATCAAGTCATACAGTATTGATCTCAATAATACCATCTGCTGGGCTAGGTCCATTTGCTCTACTCTCCATATGGGAACCCCGTTGCTCTTTACAATCCCCAAATCCTTGTTTAACCTTACAGTTCCAAGATACAGGAGAGCAATTATGCTTGCAAGATTAAATGTGCTACAGTCCACGATCCGCAATCTCTGAATGCCGTATCTTAGGTATACCGTTTTCAGATAGATATTGTGAGTGTGGTTTAGGGATAATTGAAACTGTGAAACACATTCGATATTAAATGTCTGTGGTATAAGGCGACTAGTGAGAAATGGGTCAAAACACTTATGTGCCAGAAAAATGAGCTTCCCCTTGATATTTTAGTTACTAAGCTTTTGATGGATTCTAAGCCACCAAATATTCTTTTTTTTAAGCTAAATTCCTTGTTCAGGCCATGAAATTTGGGTAACTTGTAATAAGACATCTTCTCTAATATGGTATAGCCTGCCTTCTCTGGCTTGAATTCTTACTTTCTTCCCCTTCTTTCTAGTTGGGTTTGCTTGATACTACTCAAGACTTGTAGGTCAGAGGAGTACATAAGAACATAAGAGATGCCAAAGGCCCATCCAGTCCAACACTCTGTGTCACACAGTGGCCAGAAATACCAGTGCCATCAGGAGGTCCATCAGTGGGGCCAGGACATTAGAAGCCCTCCTACTGTTGACCCCCCCAAGCACCAAGAAGACAGAGCATCACTTGCCCCAGAGCCCCTATCTATACCTTGTGGCTAATAGCCACTGATGGACCTCTGCTCCATATGCTTATCTAATTCCCTTTTGAAGCCGTCCATGCTTGTAGCCGCCACCACCTCTTGTGGCAGTGAATTCCAGGTGTTAATCACTCTTTGGGTGAAGAAGTACTTCCTTTTATCCATCCTAACCCGACCGCTCAGCAATTTCATTGAGTGCCCACGAGTTCTTGTATTCTGAGAAAGAAAGAAAAGTACTTCTTTCTCTACCTGCTCTACCTGAGTAGAGGAAGGAAGGAAGGAAGGAAGGAAGGAAGGAAGGAAGGAAGGAAGGAAGGAAGGAAGGAAGGAAGGAAGGAAGGAAGGAAGGAAGGAGTACAGTAAACATTAATAATATCTACTGTATAAATAAATGGAAGTTGCATTGCTGAATTATCCCTTGGACCGGTGTTTTATTCTGATCATAGTGCTATCTGCATTACTACTTGTCACTTATTAAGCAAAGGGTTCACATTATTTTTATTACGCTTCCTATGATATCAACGTATAAAGCAAAATGGTGCTATTTCTTGGTAGGGGCAAGGAACTGAATGGTGACCTCAGTATCCAACACATTAACCAGGAAGTAAGACCCATTTAATTCACCTGGACATATTTTTAAATAACTGTGCTTAGGATCACATCCTAATGAATTATAGGTGTACTAGGGGAAATGCCGGTTGCCGGAGGAGGCAACGGGCCCTAGGGAGAGCTGTCGGCTTGGGGGAAGGGGGCTGGGCCTGCCAGGCGAAGCAGGGCTGGGGCTCAGCGTGCGGCAGCCTCCCCTACCCCCGAGCATGGCCAGGGCCGACGGAGTCCCCTCCAACGCAGGGCCTGCAGCCTGGCTGGTGAAGGCTGCCCTGGGCGAGGGAAGGACGGCGTGGCCACCAGAAATAGACCTCACACTTGGCGGGGCCACAATCTCACCCCACTGTAGGACTTTGCCTCTCACCGGCGGAAAGGTAGGAGAGCGAAGACATGCGCAGATGGGGTGAGTGCCTTCGGCCGCGCTGGATCATTGTCATGTGGTGCGTGGAGGCAGTGGTCGGCATGGTGGGAGGGGGGCCATTGCCTACCAGTCCCTGGGTGCGGCGGCCGCCTCCCCTGTCTCTGAGGCTAGTTGGCCCCGGTGTAGCCCCCCCCCCGCTGAAGAAGGTGGTGGAGCGAGGCAGACCGGCCGGCCATTCAGGAATGAGCTCCTCACCCGCCATCCCTGGCCTCTGCTGTCCCCCCTCACTGACATTCCGCTTATCTGGGGCTGCCGCATCCTCCTGGCACCGGACCCACCCAGCCCTGTTGCCTGGACTTGCAGCCTCCCTTCCCCGGCTCCTGGCGGCGGCGTTCGCTCACAGCGTTCGCCTCCCACCTCCCAGCCAATGGCACTCCAGCAGCCAGGAGTTGGTGGGCCAATGGCTGACGGTGCATATTTTTTCTCCGCTCCCTTCATTATATATAAGGAAAGATTCTGATATTAAATTTCTGTGAATCCATTAAAGTAATGCATTTTTAGGAGCTGTGGTGGCTCAAGTGGTTAAGACGCTGAACTGCAGGCTGTGGAAGGTCGGTAGTTCAGCAGTTCGAGACCCGAGTTGCCGCATGACGGAGTGAGCTCCCGTCTCTAGTTCCAGCTCCTGCCAGCCTAGCAGTTCGAAAGCAAGAAATTGCAAGTAGATAAATAGGTGGGAAGGAAACAGCTTTCCGTGTGCCTCAGTGTTTAGTCATGCTGACCACATGACCACGGAAACGTCTTCGGACAGCGCTGGCTCTTTGGCTTTGAAACGGAGATGAGCACCACAACCCTAGAGTCGGACTCAACTGGCTTTCGAGCAAGGGAAACCTTTACCTTTTTAATGCATTTTTAAATAAAATCAAATGGTAGTTTTAAATTATTTAGCTTTGTGATCTGACACTGTTGCCTTGTATAACTTTTTTTTTAAAGTTTGTTCACTGGTTTAATACAGGAAATAAAAAAAATCCAGCTAAACACTTGTCCATCTCAAGCACTTCAGTCCTATTAGGAAATCGTAACTTTCCCCAACTGTTCCTGTTTGCACCAGTGACCTTCTATTTATATGTCTCCCTAGTCAAACACTGTCCTTTTATGGGAGAAGGGTGTCTTTTTTTAAAAAAAAGTGTTGATGCGTAGATATGTTCCCTGAAGACTGCAGCTCCCAACCCATGTCTAGAAGTTACATCTCTGAAGGGAGAGGCAGGCAGACACAGCTGAGCTCTTGTAGATATACATGCACTGTATGCATATGGACAAGGTACTATTATAAATACAGCCAGATCCACTGTTAAAAAACTTTGTTAAAGGAAATTGTTTTGGTCAGTGTACTATCTCACTCTGCTTTAGAAATCATTCTGGGCTGGCTATTGCAGAATAAATGAATATTTCATACAGGAGGCAGGGAAGAAAATTCATCTCAGCTCAGGAGTAGTGAAAGGACTTGCACTGCAAGGATGCAAATGCACCCCTATTTTCCTCTGTGAAATGCGATACATTTAATTCCATCAGCATCAATGGAAGTTCCTTCCTAATGGATGTATTCAGGATCACAACAAAGAGGAGGTGAATAAACCAAGTGGCAAATAAATTCCTACTGGGCTGTGACCGCAGCCAGGGCTTTTTTTCGTGGGGAACATGCCAGAATGGAGTTCCAGAACCTCTTAGACAAAATTCTTTAAAAAATGTTTACAAGTTCATGGGTTTCAGTATACAAATTGAAAACTTCATTTCCCTTTTGAGAATTTTGACACCTTTTTAAAAAGGGGGGGGGGAGCCCTGCCCACAACCATCCATTTCTGTACATACTTGCAGTCTTCCCCTTCCAGCATATTGCGGTAAGTGGTGATCTCGCAATCCAGGCGGGCCTTTTCATCAAGGAGGGTCTTGTACTCGCAGTTTTGGCGCTCAATGTCACAGCGGATTTCAGCAAGCTGGGCCTCCACATTACTGATCAGGCATTGGAGCTGTGAAAGTTGGTTGCAGTAGCGGGATTCAGTTTCTTGCAACGTGTCTTCCAGAGCTGCTTTCTGGGGGTAGGAGTGGGTAGAAAAGGCAAAGTGTTTTATCACAACATATCATCTAGTCATACCCATACACAAAAATAAATGTTTAAAAGGCCATTAACATTTTATGATGGATAGCTGGGGCCTTTGAGATGGATACTGATAGTCCTGAGATTCAAGACTCCGTATAAGTGAGCCCTTATTTGGAAAGGAAACACCTGATTGCTAACAAGAGAACTTACATTTAATTTGTGATACAGATATTGACTCCTTTATGCATTTGTTTTCAAATCCAGATTATCAGAAGTGAACCATATACAGAGTAGTACCTGCTGTCCTTCGAAAATAATATTTTAAAAATCTAAATTCTGCATCATATAATTTATTTATTAAGGAAAATGCATAATTTGTATTTACTCTATTTCTGGTAGCTGTATGGAAGAACAAGGACCTATGGGAGGGCAGCCAGCTCCAAGACAGGAAATTTATGGAGTGAAGCCTGTGAAGGCTGCAGTTTGGGAAGGAGGGGAACCTCAGTGGGGTATAATGCCCCACCTGACGGTCTAATCGAAGGAGGGCATGATCATGCCCTAAGCTAAGGAGGGCATGAAATCCTGGTAACCCTCCCTTATATCTGCATTTTCATCAGTTCCAAGCAGCATTTCCTAGGACGTTGTGCTCCAGCACAATACCAGTGCACCTGCCCCCTCCCATTACTCCTGGCGGTGGCAAGCTATGGCTGGCAATCCTATTCTCCACAGGCATATTGTGCACTCATTTGGCTTTAAAAATAATGAAAACATATTTCTGTCAGAGCTGTCCTTGAAAGAGCAGTTTCTGTCAGAGTTCTCTCAGCCTCACAGGGTGTTTATTGTGGGGAGGGGAAGGGAAAGGAGCTTGTAAGCCACTCTGAGACTCTGAGTGAAGGGCAGGGTATAAATCCACTCTCCTCCTCCTCCTCCTCTTCTTCTTGTTCTCCTTGCCACTGGACTCTAAATTCATTCTAGGCTAATAATGGGTGATTCCGCACTATTTATTTATTATTTTGTCCCCGAACTTACATTCTACACTACGCTCAAGTTCACCCCTGTAATTATCTCGGTGTGTTTTTTTGTTTCCACACTACATTGAGGTCACCCTGGTTTCACCCCACACTTGTCCTAGGATAAATGGATGCAGTTATAACCACAGAAAAATGCAAGGTATTGTGTCGCAAATTGAACTTTGATAAAACCAGGGATGAGCTCCAAGTGTGGAAAGGACCTTTAATGTTTGATCCTGCTTTGCAAACAGCCCTTTGTATGGTTGTATAAATAAGTTTCTGAATGAGGTTGCAGTTCCAGAATAAATGGGCTCAAAATATTAAGTAAATATGTTATTTGCTACGAGGCCAACACGGATTTGTCTCTGTGCTCTTTAAAACAACTCTTTAGAAGCAAGATACACATTCTGAGATCGTGCAAACACACAACTATTTGAGAAACAGTGATGGCTTGAATATTCTGAATCCATACCCACCATACTCTGCTGAGCCTGCATGTCAATTTCCAGGGCCTGAACACAACGTCTGGTCTCGATGATCTCTGACTGGCAGCATTGCAGCTGTTCTCCACTGGAGATCACCTCCCTGTTTAGTTCTTCCATCTGAAACAGCCCCCAAACAGGAAGTGAGAAATCAGCAGAACTGTCACCAAGAGAAACTGGTCTGGTTCGCATTGACTTAAGGGACACACCTGTGTACAGTACCAATCCTCAACTTCCTGACGATTCTTTTGAAGATCAGCCTCATACTGGCATCGCATCTCATCCAGGACCTTGTTGAGGTTGCAAGATGGAGCGGCATCCACCTCCACATTAATGCGATTACCAAGCTGGGAGCGGAGGGCGGAGGACTCCTAGAAGAAGAAGAAGAAGTGTTTAAGGTAAAGGTTCCCTTGCTCGAAAGCCAGTCGAATCCGACTCTAGAGTTGCGGTGCTCATCTCCGTTTCAAAGCCAAAGAGCCAGCGCTCATCATGCAGCAACCGGGTCTCGAACTGCTGAACTACTGACCTTCCACAGCCTGCAGTTCAGCGTCTTAATCACTTGAGCCACCGCAGCTCCTAATTTTATACCCTGCTTTTCTCTGCCTTAAGGACTCTCAAAGCAGCTTACAATCACATTCCCTTCCCCTCCGCACAACAGACACCTGGTGAGGTAGGTGGAGCTGAAAGAGTTCTGAGAGAACAGTGAGCAATGCTCCCTCTAAGCAGTGGAGTCTTGTGAGCAAAAATTCCACTTTGTAAGCGACTGGCATCAAAGTTGTGAGTGAGTGACTTGGCTACTGCATAAATTAGGTTACTCTGGAGCCCTCCTTCATGAGCTAAGACAAAAATGTGTGAGCCGGAGGCTAAAAAACTATGAGCTAGCTCACACTAACTCAGCTTAGAGGGAACACTGACAGTGAGTGGCCCAGAGTTACCCAGCAGGTTTCATTTTGAGCAGAGAATCAAACACAGCTCTTCAGATTATAGTCTGCTGCTCTTAACCACTACATGATGAGGAAGAGGACAAGTAATGGCCTGTCCTTTATTTTTCAAACAAGTATCAAAGAGGAAAGGAACTGCTGAATTTGTTTCTTCCACTAACCAAGGTTGGGTATACTTGGACACTGGTAAAATTTTGTTCTGAGAATTTTCATTATTTAGGGCATTACTTTATGCTGCGGTGGCTCAAGTGGTTAAGACGCTGAACTGCAGGCTGTGGAAGGTCAGTAGTTCAGCAGTTCAAGACCGGGTGCTGCAAGACGGGGTGAGCTCCTGTCTCTAGTTCCAGCTCCTGCCAACCTAGCAGTTCGAAAGCAAGAAATTGCAAGTAGATAAATAGGTACCGCTTCGGTGGGAAGGTAACAGCGTTCCGTGCGCCTTGGTGTTTAGTCATGCCGGCCACATGACCACGGAAACGTCTTCGGACAGCGCTGGCTCTTCGGCTTTGAAACGGAGATGAGTACCGCAACCCTAGAGTCGGATTCGACTGGCTTTCGAACAAGGGAACCTTTACCTTTACCTTATGCTGTTTGGTCAAGATATTGGAGCTCAATTTATGTGCAGTTGGTGAACAGAGAGTGTTCCTGTCCTCATCTTCTCCTGTTCTTGGTGCTGGTAATGTTTCGTTCATACCTCCTCGTGGTTTTTCTTCAGGCACATCATCTCCTCCGTCAGGGACTCAAGTTGGGCTTCCAGGTCAGCCCTGCATAGAGTGAGGTCATCCAGAACTCTGCGGAGGCCAGTGATGTCAGACTCATCCCGCTGACGAAGACTGAGCTCATAATCATACCTTTGAAGAGATGGCAGATGTATAATTACAATATAGTTGAGACAGCAAAATGTGAAGCTGATCAGTTATGGAGCCAGAGGGTCATTAAAATAGCAGTTTGCCCTAAACTCATCCATTAACGGGTGTTTACTGGAATTTTAGACCTGTCCTTTTCACCACTATTGACAAGTCAACATTTGTTAACCTATGTTGCTCATCACAAGAAGGAATAAAAGTATTGTGTTTACATATTCTAATGTTTTGGTATTTTTGCATTTGTGTGTGTGTGCCCTTACCTGGAAGTCATGACAACCTCTGGTGACTCCTACTGGAACATGAAGGATGTTCAGAGAAGTAGCTTGATAGCCTGCCTCTGCCTCCTGGCCCTGGTATTCTTTGGAGATCTCCCATCCAAATACTTGCCAAGATCAGCCCTGCTTAGCTTCCAACATCTGATGAGATCAGGCTTGCCTGGGCTATCTCAGGGCTCATGTTCTAATTCTTATGGGTAAGAACCTTATGGTCATAGAATACCCAAATCATTTTATGCAAGTTCCAGCATACTCAAGACCACAAATTACACTTGTACTTTATCTGTTCTCCTGTAGGGGTGTTCAGAGCAGGTACAAGAGTAGGGGTTTCACCTGTTCTGGTGCATGTGTAAGGGTTCTAAATATATTAATCTGAAAAAAATGGGAATGATCTTGTAAATATATCTGGTATGAACAGGGTTGGATAGAAGTGTTTGAATATTTATTCTTGTGTAATGTTTGATCACAGCCAACTTATGGCAACCCCATAGAGGTTTCAAGGCAAGATATAAAAAGAGGTGGTTTTCCATTGCCTGTTGCGGCATAGTGACCGTGGACTTCCTTGGTGGTCTCCCATCCAAGTTCTAATCTGGACCAACCCTACTTAGCTTCCGAGATCCAATGAGATCAGGCTACCATGGCCCATCCAGGTCAGGCTTTGGCTAAAACATTGTTTAGAGGGGCTATAATATGAGACATAACAATCATTTGTGGATGTGATTCCCTAAATGTTTTTAAAAAGAGGATGTCAATGTCTGCATATGAAATATATTTTTAGGTTCCTCAGTGTTTTCACTTGGAGGAATAGTCATTAACATACATTAAAAACTTCTTAATGGAACATCTCTGTTTTCCAAATGTTTTAGATTGTTACAGAACAGACCCCTGAACTTCCAGCATAATTTGTTTTGGAAATTCTGACCTGGGAAACCCTAATCTATTCCATTCTTACTAGCGCCCACAATTTTCCCACCAATTCTGGCACCCTGTGGGTGAGTTCCTTTGGGAATCATAATTGTGCACACTGATATTAATACCATTGAGGGCAGGGCACTGCAGCATACAGCTCTGATGAATGAGAGCACTAGATCTTCCTCAAGGACAATCTTACTTGGTGCAGTAGTCATCTGAAGCCATTTTGAGATTGTCAATATCTAGGCACAACCTTGCATTTTCAGCCTTAGTGCAGCAAATCTGAAAGCAAGAAAGCAAAATGTAATTTTAATCCACCCAGATGGAGGGCATAAGGCAAGGACAGGAGGGCAGTTTGAGGGACAAGGGAACAAACATCTGGCTATACCCAAATATATATAATTAGTAAACCTGCTTTATAAAAGCAGATCTACAGCATTTTATTCAAATGTACCGTCTGATCTCCCAGATTAAGCTCAGTGGAAAAATGATTATCAACAAGATATGAAGTGGTTTTCCCAGTCATGTATAACCAGCTGTTAACATATGTCAAAATATTGTAAGTACTATATTCATTTTTTATTTGTGATACAGGATCAAACGTATTGTCTCGCCCTTTTCCTCTCACTGTCCATCATGGCCAAGCATAGCACATGGAAACGGTGTGAGACCTTGTCTACCGTCTAGTTTGGCTCAACTGCTACCCTCATCTCTATCAACATCTGGCCACTGTGCAGAAGAGCAGACCACTGGTCTGCTCCAATCAGTTTGAATTTAATATTAAATGAATGGTTTATAATGATTTGTTCTAAGCGGCCTACATTTGAACAAAAAAAGCAGGGCAACACCCCACCCCCGAATAAATTAAAATTTATTTAATGCAAAGGCAGAATAAAATGTTCTATAGCTGATAAACAGATAACTATTCTGACTGAGCAGAATACAGAACTCATTGAAATGCAACATTTTAGAATACAAACACTACAGCCATTTGGCTGCCGCCCGCACAAATGATTTCTCCGCTTGCAGCATTCAGTCTTGCTTCCTATCTTTGTCGTAGTGTTATAATAAGGCAAATATGTATTTTACATCTGGAGATGAGCTGGGAGTTCTTTAGTGGCCTTTCATATTTGTGGTAGAAAGCACCCTCAAATCGCAGCAGACTTATGGCAACACCATAGGATTTTCAAATCAAGAGACGAACGGGGGTGGGTTGCCATTGCCGGCCTCTCTGCACCAAGCCTTCCTTGGTGGTTTCCCATCCAAATACTAACCAGGGCCAATCCTGCTTCACTTCCAAGATACAATGAGATCAGGCTAGCCTGTCTAAATGTTTGATCTTTTGACTCACTCACATACACTTCCTGTGGACCTCCTGTCTAGCTACAAGCGAAATAAAATCTTGAGTCAGTAGGGTTGCCAAACCCCCCGGTCCCCCATTTTTTTTGGGGGGGGTTCTACCTGCTGCCGGCCAGATGGCCAGCGGGGGAAGCCCCACCCCAACACCCACAGCCACCCCTCTCTCTCCCTTTAAGTGTGTGGAACCCGTGTTTCCTCCCAAGCCCGATCTCTGCTTGAGATCAGGCTTGCAGGGAAATGCCAACTTCGTGCATTTAAAAGGGAAACGCGGCTGCTCTTAAAGGGGAAATGCCGGCTCCTGCTCTTAAAGGGGAAACGCCGGCTCCTTTAAGTGCAGGGAACTGCCATTTCTGGAGATCCGGCGCGTGGGCGGGGGGCGGCGGCGGACACCCCCAATGTGATGTCATCACGTCGGGGATACCCTGCCCCCTCCAGGAACGCCCCCAAAGTCCCCCGCTGGGGGTGGAAGATGGACTTGGCAACCCTATGAGTCAGTGGTCTGACCTTGTACGACAGTTCCTATTTTCTTGTCAGACAAGGAACACATCTTCAGTTACACCTTTAAAATTTGAATTAAAGGGTGATATCTCAAACAATACTGGAAACATTCTCACACTTTAATTGTTCTTGGAAAGGTTTGCTGCAGAACTGTACTGGGTTATTGAAGGCCCCATGGCCATTACCTGCTGCTGGAGTTCATCAATGCTGCAGTAGAAAGGCTTGAAGTCAGTGCAGACGTAAGCATTTTCACATTCGTACCATTCTCGGATCTTACATTCCAGCTCAGCATTCTCTTGTTCCAGGCAGCGCACCCTTTCCAGGTAGTTGCCCAGACGGCTGTTCAGGAACTCCATGGTTTCCTTTTCATTGCAGTTGAGGATCCCTTGATCGTGGCTGAGAGGGTAGCAGTTCAGAGGGCGAGCAGGCGGTGGGATGCAAGGGGGTGGGACACATGTGGAACCCAGACTGGAAGCGGGATGGCCAGTCCGGCAGTTACTGGGAATCGATGGAGTTGTACGGCCTGGAGTGGGCAGGCAGACACTGGATCGCCGAGGAGGAAGACCGCTTCCAGGACGGCAGTTGACAGAGACGGCACTGTTGGGCCGGCAATTTGTTGTAATCTTGCAGGGGCCCCTGACGGACCCACAGGTGTGAACTGAAGTGGCAGCCATAGTGGAGAGGAAAAGCAAGGTTTCAGACTCAGCTAGAACATCCAAGGCGCCCAGGTCTGAAAGCCACTTTAGTTCCTGGAACTTTTTTATACCATGAGCATTGGGTGTTAACTCCCCTTTATGAGGCTTCATTCTTGTTAATGTTTCTGGTGATTTGTGCAGTGGCCTTTTCATTATTCTGCTCAATACTCACCTAAAAAGCACTTCTTTGCTCATAAAATCCACCCCCCTTGGCTTGCAAAACCAGGACTCCTCTTGATGGCTGTCCCTGGAATTATAGTTTTACGATGCACCATCAAAGCAGCTTCTCGGCATCAAGCAGTAGTCCTCAATAGCTGGGTGTGGGTATGTGGGGTGACATTATGGGCTTGGCATTTTACAATAGGATTGGTCTTTCTTTCTTCCCCTGGCCCTTCCCTTCCTCTGGCCTACTTTGACCCAACAAAAAGCTGACATACCAAATTGTTTCTCTTGGCTGCAACACACAAAAAAGGTTGTGTGGAGCGATGAAATTTCCCAAAACGGATAAAATTGCTCCTGTGTCCAAGCACACTTCATCAAGAATGTGTGATGAGTAGCCCCCCCTCCAAAAAAAAATTCCATCAGGGAGAGGTAACGGATGGCTTTCACTTCACACTCTGGGCACAAGTGTTCGCCATATTTGAGGACATGAAGGAAATTTCCTCCTGTGTTGTATTGTGAGGTGGGTCAGGGTAAGGCCAGGTTGACTTGTGGCTCTGTCAGAACCCCTTCTTGGACCTGCAGTCCTGGCTGTTCCTGGGTGTAATTAGTAGCCTTGGTAGTAGCAACCTTGCTTTGTCCTCTTCCATGGTTTTGGGCTTCTGATTCATCTTTGCCCTGCATAACATTTTCTTTCTTTCTTTCTTTTTATTATAACTTTATTTTTACAACATTTTTCCAATATCCATACAATAAACAACAGTTAATACAATACAAAATCAACATATTTAGTAGGTAGTGCAGATATACCATCTTTTCCATTGTTTACATAGTCAAAAAACACAAACCACTTTTCTAAAAATCTTGATGTCTTGTGAGGATGTTCTGTTTCCAGTAGTTGCATTACTATTGGGCAACCCTTGGCTGTGCCTCTGAGTATGATCCTTGCATTACTTTTGGACTCTGTTCTGAGCATCACCTAGGGTTGGGGGTGGAGCCTGAGGAGGGTGAGGTTTGGGGAGGGGAGGGACCTAGCACCACCTATGCTTGTTCCCATTCGCCTATTTGATCTTCCTCTACTCATCTACCTTACTTGGGTCAGAGGGGGTAGGTCTTCCATACCCTGTTAGGATCGGAATTCTGTCAAATATTTCACATGATGCTGGTATTTTATCTGCACCTAAGACCTTGTTTCACCTTCATATAAAAAGTACTTACAATTGTATCCTGGAGAATATATATTTACAAGTGGAGACCCGCAAGAAACTTGCGAGATGGTTATCCTATTCCTTACGCCTTTGCTTCCTCCTGTCTCCCCTTACCTCTCTCACACTCTTTATACTGGTCTGTAGTTCCTTCCCTCCTCCAATCCCACCCTCCCCAGGCTCCACCCCACAAATGTCCAGGAATTTCCCAACCTGGAGTTGGCAACACAATTTCCTTCCCACCCAACAGCCAACCTACCTTTATCTGCCTCTCTGTCTGCAACTTTCCATCTCCACACCCCTCCCCCACAGCCTCTACCTAGGAAAATTACAGTTTTTCTCCACAGTGGGGACCAAAACAGCTTACATTATTCTCTCCTACTTTTTATCTGCACAACAACCCAGCTTTCATAGGGTGGCTGCTGATGCAGTAGCAAGCAGCTGGGCCTACTTGAGTCATGCAAATCAGGTGGTATCAAGTCACCCAGAGGGTGCTGCCGAGGGATGCCAGCCTCCAGGTGGGACCTGGGGATCCCCTGTAATTCCTGCTCATTTCCAGACTACAGAGATAACTTCCCATGGAGAAAATGGATGCTTTGGAGGGTGGACTCTGTGACATTGTACCCCACTGAGGTCCCTGTCCTCCCCAGGCTCCTCCCGCAAATCTCCAGGAGTTTCCCAGCCTGGACCTGGCAACCTTATCCAGAATCCCCTGTCGGTGGCTGGGGGGGGGGCGGCTAGTGACCCTAAACTGCTGCCAGGCCTAGGGTTGCCACCTCTAAGTGGGGCCTGAAGGACCCCCCCCCAGAATTACAGCTGAACTCAAGACAGCAGAGATCTGTCTCCCTGGAGAAAATGGCTGCTTTGGAAGGTGGACTCTGTGGCATTATACCCAGCGGAGGCCTCTCCCTTCCCCAAACCTCAAAACTTCTAGGGATTCCCCAGGCTGGCCCTGGCAGCCCTTGTCAGGCCAGGCCCCAAGGCTCCCTTCCTCCTTCCCTCCCTGAAAGGCCAAAAGAGGCCAGGAAAGGGCCCTTCCCCCACCCTTTGACTCACAGAGCCAGTTGGAAGCCTCCTTCCCCCCCTCCCCGAACGTTCTAATCTCTCTCTCACCGTTGATGCCTGGAGTTAGATCCCTGCAGAGAGCATTTCAAAAGGTATTGGGGGGAATTCAGCCGTCCCTGGAGGGATTTTCTTACTTCTTGGATTTTTCTGCAGACACAGGAGGTATACTCACTATGTAGGAAAAGCTGTTGGGGCAGAGTGAGCTTCCTGTTAGTGGAAATAAGTATCCACACACGGCACCCTCTGTTGGAAATTAGAATATAAGATTTGTTTTATAGTCTGTCTTTCTCACTGAGACTCAAGGCATAGTTCATAGTGTAAGGCGATGTAGTCAATAGGATGTGAGAACTAATAACCAATGTAATTGGGCTAGAATTACAGAAAAAAACACAGCTAAAATGTATTAAATGCAAGCATTAAACAATGCAGAAAATGGTACTACATAAGTAGAAGACAATGCATCCGGAGCAGAATTATACATACGGCAAACAGATTATGCACACTATATACACAGTGGTGCAGATCGCAGTCCCATTCCTTTCTGAAAGCAACATACTGAACCATTCCATAACAGCCCTATTACATTTATAGAAAAGCCCTCCTGAACAATTCTGTTTTACATATAAGGTTGCCAACCTCCAGGTGGCACTGAGAGATCTTCTGCTATAACATTTGATTTCCAGATGACCAAGATTAGTTCCCCCGGAGAAAATGGCTGCTTTGAAGACTGGACTCTATGGCATTATAACCCTACTAATATCCCTCTCTTCCCAAACCCCATCCTTCCCGGGCTCCACCCCCAAACTCAGGGCTGGCAACTCTATTTACATAGTTTGCAGAAAAACAGACATATGGGAGCCTTCCTGACTTCTTCAACAACGTGGGGGGCAACAACAGAGAATGCACATTTATAGGCAGTTACCCATGTGCAGAAGTATGAACACACCTATTGAAGTGATAGTCTGATCTTTAATCTTTTTACAACAAGAAAAACAGCTATAAGATGTTATATATAGATGGAAAGTTCACTTCAGTTTTTGTTACTTTATAAAACAACTGGTTTTGGTATTAAGCCATTATTAATATTTTGTCAAAGGCTTTCATGGACAGAGTTCATTAGTTGTTGTAGATTTTCCAGGCTGTATGGGCCATGGTTTTGGTATTGTAGGACCTGACATTTCGCTAGCAGCTGTGACTGGCATCCTCAGAGGTATAACACAGTACTCTCTGTGACACAGCCTGGAAAATCTACAACAACATTATTAATATTGTTGCCTTTATCAGAAGCAGTTCAATTAGAGATGTAATATTTATGAAAACGTTGGAAAAGAAACTTTTGTTGTTGTTTATTCCTGGGGGGAAAACCCAGAAATTTGGGGAGAAATTGAAATATTTGATATGTTGCATTCAAACCCAGAAGAAAAAATGTAGTCCCTTCATCCTGCAGCAGTGAGATCCTGATTCTTTCTCCCTAACAGAGAATATTGTTCTCCCCATGTTGATTGTTTGCACCTAGGAGCCCTTAGGGTGTGAAAGATTTGGCTGTGTTTGAGGCGGTGTGGTAATTGGTAGGGATGGGGTCATCATGTTGGGGATGTTGGGGGTGTGATTCTCTGCTTTTTGGGCAAAACTCTATGGTAAATTTGACCTCAAAACCATAGAGTTTTGACCAAAAAGCAGAGCGTTGCCCCCCCCCCGGCATGATGACGTCACCCGAAGTACTTCTGGTTTACCTGGAAGTTGGTTGGGGGGGGCATGCATTTGCGGGTGGGGTTTCCCCCACCAGCCAGCTGGCCATCAGGAAGCAGTAGGGTTGCCAAGTCCATCTTCCGCCCCAGCAGGAGACTTTGGAGGTGTTCCTGGAGGGGGTGGGGCATCACCGACGTGATGACATCACATTGGGGACGTCTGCCGCCCCACCCGCCCTGATCTCAAGTGGAGATCGAGTTTGGGAGGAAACGCGGGTTCCATGAACTTAAAGACAGCCACCCCTCTCTCTCAAGAGAGAAGGGAGAGGGGTGGCTGTGGGTGTTGGGGGTGGGTAGAACCCCCCCCAAAAACGGGTGGGGCCTGGCAAACCGGGGGATTTGGCAACCCTACGAAACAACCCGCCAAATTGGGGGATCCCCTGCTCCCACTGGGGGGATGGGATCCCTATCCATACATAAACAAGGAGCTTCATAATTACAGGGTCTGCTTCTCTGTGTCGCATCATTTCCCTTTCCCAGCCCTGTGAAGTTTCTTCTTCTGCTGTATCTGTTTCACTCAGTCCCTCCTTAGCCCCTCTCCGTCCTATACCTCTAACTTTAGCCTTCCATATACATATTCTCACTTGGCCCATTTGACTGTGGACTGCTCTGTACAATCCTCCGTACCTGATGTCTTCTTTGTAAAGGCTTGGCACCGTCTAGCTACTATTATTGGTGTGTCCCCAAACTCCTGATCCCAGTCCTGTTGGGACTTACTACATCCCACAGTCTGATCCACACTGGCCTGCCCATGCCGCATTTGTTGACAAAGGAGATGCTGGTTTTACAGCCTTCTCTTTGG